CCCCTGCACACTCTCACACACTTACAGACGATCTCACTCTCTCACATAGGCAGACACTCTCACACACTCTCCTACACGTTGTTATTTTTCAAATGCTTATCCTTTCACTCGTAGTATTTTCTCTCATACATTCACACAGAGTATCACACACACACACACACTTTCCCGCATACACTCGCACACTCTTACAAACATCACGTCCTTCATAGACAAAAGTAAATACAAAGATCCCCCTGTTGGGGCAAGTGCTGTTAACCAGCATCTATGAGAGGGCAGAAAAGACACGGAATGGGTGGCCAACACCACGCCCAGCCGCCTTTGTCTTCCCAGTGCTGGGTTACCACGGTGGCGAGATGTTAACAACCTCGCCTGTATATTTGGAGTTTTTGTGTCTCTCCCTCCGTGGTCGCGTGTATTTTTCTCTGGGCCCTTCAGTTTTCCATACACATTTAGAAACATGCGTTTAGAGCATATTATAAATGTTCACTTGATAAGCCACATCGTTGAGCTATCATTTGTGGCCAGGTTGCTTCTGAAAAATAGCTCTTATGCAGCTCAGTGGGCCTTAGGGGCCGTCCATAAATGACGTCACGCGATTTTGGACAAATTTTGACCCCCCACCCTCGTCACACGGCGCCCCGAAAAGTCAGACCTCCCCCCTCATAGATGAAGTCACAAAGCTCTGCCCCCCCCCCCCCCCAAAATAAAACATGCTTCAAATCGCTTTAAACTATTGTTATTGTAGTGCGTATTTAATGTGCCGCTGCACTCTGATGTTGTAGGAGAAAACATTTATTAAAAAGTCTATTTAATTAAGTAGAACGTGTTGTCTATATTTATTTAAAGTTGTGCATTTTGATGTGACGTCACATTACTATATTTGTCACAAATGTCTGACCCCCCCCCCCCCCAGGTGCGTGACGTCATTTATGGACGGCCGCTTACCTGAAAAAGAATAAGTTGATAGTTTTAGTTTACACATTGCAGCAGGTACTCGTTTCAGCCTGAGTTAACGTTGCGGAGGCCCAGAATCGGTTCAGATGTCGTGAGCGGGGATCGAATTCGGGGTCGCCGAATCGATGGGTTCGTATTGCATCGCGCTCACCACTGCGCCACCGCTCCTCATCTCTCCATATCCTCCCTGTCACACTGTCACTTGTACTCTCTCTCTCACGCTCTCTCACACTCTCTCAAACACACACACACTCTCACTTCTACTCTCTCTCACACTCTCTCTCTCTCTCTCACACTCTCTCTCTCGCACTCTCTCTCTCTCACACTTTCTACCGGGGGTTGGGGATCAGGGTCCCCGTCAACATTTTGAATGAGAAATTAAGCTCTGGTGACGAGTGGTATCTGAATAGATCCCCGGGCATCCCGTTTACCAAGCGGTGTACTGGCGAACGTGGTGAAGTATGGTCAAAGAGGCCCCGTAGCTGACACGGCATAAGAAGCCCTTCACCCAGCAGTAGATTGATAAAGGGCTGTACATTTGATTACATTACTATATTTCTATTCGTATTGTCTATCGCCTGTCCTCTCATCCACGTCTCTAGTCCGGGTGCATGCGTGGTAGGCGGGCTCCTCTCGTCCAGCAACGGATTCGTGATGTTGGGATTTGTGGTGGGGGGTGATGGAGGAGAATGGGTGATGCCGTGTGGGGATAAGGAGGCTGATGGTAGGTGGTCTGATGGAGAGGTAGGAGTGAAGGGTGAGAGTGATGCGAGAGAGGAGTGTTGGTAGGGTAACAGTGATGGGATGAGAGTAATTGAGTGGACTGATGGGTTAGGCCGAGTCATGAGAGGGTTGGGTGATGGGCTGGAATGGCAGCGTGAAAGTTGTCGGAGTATGAGGATGATTGGGAGTGCGAGAGTGATGTGAGAGGTGAGTGATGGGGTGGGTGATGGAGAGTTTGCAGTGATGGGAGGATGGAGTGATGCTGGTTGGGGCGATGTTGAGGTGTAGTGATGGGGAGAGGTGAATCTAATGAGCGTGATGGGGTGAGCGATAGAGGGGTAATGTGATGGGGTGAGTGATGGTAGGGCGATCTGATGGGGTGAGTGATGGTAGGGTGATGTGATGGGGCGAGTGATGTTGCTCGGCGGGATGTGGAGCGATGTGGTGCGCGATGGAAGGATGATGTAATGAGGGTGAGTGACGGAAGGTCAGAGCATGGGTGGGAATAATGAGGTGGAGTGATGCTGGAGAGTGATTAGAGATCTGAGTGATGGGAGGGTGGAGTGATTGGGAGGTCCTGAGGGCGGGCGAGAGGGGGAGGCTATGAGTGATGGAGGGGAGGTCGGCGTGATGTGATGTAGTAATGAGAGGGTGGGAATGATGGGAGGTGGGAGGTGATGGCGGAGAAATTTGAGCTCTGAGTGATGGGGCGGAGTGATGGGAGGGTGGGAGTGATGGTGTGGAGTGAGGCAAGCGTGCACACTCCGTAAACCTCCGCTTCCACCGCATGCCAGAGAATGTAATCACAGTACAGTACACGTCCATACTGCACATGACTACAGTCCGTACCAATTATATTCGCAGTGCAATACAATGTGGGTTTATGTAGCGTCTACATGCGACAGCATATCAATATGTTGTAGGGAAACGGTGGAAATATTTACGTGAGAGAGCGAGGCAGTCGTTAGGCTGATGATCAGTGGGCAGCGAGTCTCTAAGTACCGTACATGGGTATCCGTGAATCTATGAGTATGCGATTCTATGGGGTTTCTATGTAAGTCTATGAATATTCGTGCGAGACTAAGGTTCTCCGTGTAAGCCTACGAACCTCTGAGTGAGTCTCAGTGCATTTATGTGACTCTGTGGGTTCTCTGTGCGAGTCCATAGGAAACAATACAATGTGGATCTATGAGAGCGTCGAAATGGGACCGCGTCTCCGGACGTTGGAAAAAACAATTGTGTGAATTTATTTGAGGGAAAGAAAGAGGCAGTCGTGAGCAGAGCAAAGAAGCAGGCATTGAGCCTGGACTTGAGCAGGGAGAGGGGGGAGGATCAAGGCAGTCGACAGCACTGACAGCTCGGAGGGAAGGGACCTCCAGCAGCAGAGGAGAATTGGCAAATGAAATCCTTTATTTAACCACCCGAGAGCACATTGGGATTCATCAGGTCCCTTTTGCAAGGTTGTGGGGGAAGGGGCAGTCTGAAACTCTACAGCCGCAGCACAACGAGCATCCGCTAACGTTTCACCTTTAAGCGTAAATCGCACCGTTCTTATATAAACAACGGTCGTGAGACCGGTGAGTTCATAATGGGCTGCCCGCACAGCGAGAGATGACGTCACCCTCGCGCCAGCGCTGATCGTCGAGCAAAGCGACTCTTGCTGCCCACGAGGCCATCGGGGGTGCCACCCATCTCCATTCTCCTTTCGCGCCCCCTAAGCCAATGGTCATACGCTCCACATTCCCTTGACGGGACAAGTCCGACTATCCCAAATGCGGGAGAATAATACAGCGAGTGTTGATTTTATCGGACTCGCCGATACGATGTCGGTGATGATTATGGTGTGCCGCACGAGCGCCAACAGTCTGTTAAGGCTATATACGGGGTATCTGTGTCTTTTGTGGGCCGTGCCGACATTCATAAGTGCTCGCTGACGGCACTTGCCCCAAAATGTCTGTTCCGGCTCTAAGGGGGATCTTTGGTGGTGGTGATGATGATGGAAATTATGATGGCATTTAAATTTCGATGTAAAGCTTTCGTGACTGCAGGGATTCATGTTCTTTGTTCTTTCGGTAAAGTCACGTAGAAGAGAAATAATAAAATAATAAAAATTCAACAATTAAATTCACACGACGTTTCGATTGCAACACAAGCAATCATAATCATCAGGTGTGAAAACCCACACCTGAGGATGATGCCATTGTTGGGTGGAGTCGATCCTCGACTGGGAATTGAACTCAACAACGACTTGTTTGAGACGAATGCTGTACCCAGAAAATGATGATGGTGACTGTGATGAATACGATGATGATCACAGTTCTTGTGATAATGACTGTGATGATGTTCATGACTTTGACGGCAATGATGATTATGATGATGACTGCGACGATGATGAAGATCGTGATGTTGACTCAGACGCTGATGTCTGTGATGACGATGATTGTTGTTGTTAACTGATGATGATAATGATGATTATGATGGTGATGACTGTGGTGATGACGATAATGATTGTCAAGAATGTGACGACAACTACAACAATGATGTAATAATTAATGTACGTCCCTCGTGGGAATCTAACCTTGCGACACGTATCTCTCAGGCCCAGCAACGCAAACAATGACTGTTCTGATCATTATCGAGTAGCAAGCAACTCTCTGTCAGAAATCAGCAGTGGACGTCCTATGGACGTAGTCCCCGCCATCGGAATGCGGATTGTCCACTGCTGGTATAGCATAGGTCTGTCAAAGGCAGTGATCGGCGCCAGAGGAGGCTCCTTTGAGCCGAGAGACGTTTTGATGGTTTTTGCTGTAATAATGATGATGAATATTAACGAGACTAATGGGTATTGGGTGTTAGCGTGTGAAGTGTGTGTATGTACGTGTGATTATAGACCTTACACACACACACATCGGCATGTATGAGCGTGTATACGTGTGATTAGTAATCGCACACAGCCACATATCTACACCCTGACGGACATGCACATACACACACATACACAAATAAAGATTCCCCGTGTAGGGTTCACATGCTGCTGGGGGCAAGTGCTGTAATGAATGCCGCCACGGCGAACAAGGCATGTATGTATGTACGTGGTCAGCACCACACCTTTGTCTACCTAGTTATGATGATTATACACCGCACCAAATACTCATTTAAGGCTGAGCCGACCCAGGGGAACACCGCACCTCTCGTGCGTCGTCTCGCATATTCAGGGGGTGTTCGCTGGCAACACTTGCCCCACCTTCATGTGTAGGCTATACGGGGGATCTTTTTTTAATATATATAAGGAGCGTGGGCGCACGCCATCTCGCATCGCCCACCTGTTAGCGTGAGCTCTTGGCGAACCCGGCTGATTGCATTAAGTGGATGCAAGCCCATGTCCACGCACTGTGTACCTACACACAGACACACGCACGTATACACTGACACCAAGTCCTATTGGTACACAACATTCATTGCACGCATACCAATTGCCCATCGACGGTATACCACCGGCACATTGTATTAACGCGCAAATATGCACGTGTGCCAACACCAATACGCCACCGTGGTGACGGTGACGTCACCACGGCTCTTGTGCCAGGCCAGGTGCACTTTGAGGCCACGCACACACGAAGTGAGCGCATGCCCGTTGTACGTAAACATCTGGTTTTGGTAAACGGAAAACCGGTAACCGTTTTTATAATCGATTACCGGTTCAGAAAGTCAGTAGTGCGTGCACCGGTTGGCACGCGCCAACGTACAAACCGCACGGCGGTTCTAAGTATTTGCCCTCGTTTCTCAGTGAAATGGCAAAGGTCGGAGCAGTCCCGCAATCGCTTCCTGACGACACTGCTGGCAGAAGGGGCCTCCAGGGAAGGTGGGGGGGGGGGGTGCCCTGGGCGAGTCTTTTGGGTCTCCTCTTCCCCACTGAGCAGACTTCACGGACGAAGAAGAAGAGGTGGTGGTGGTGGTGTGCGTTACCCACACTTCACCCCGCCGCACGCGAACCTGCCCGGCTGCCCGTTTGGCTTGCTGTGACGTGTAAGCTCATTTATACCGGAGGAGATTTTAAGAGTGACTCGACTTGCCCCCATTGTTTTAACTGCCGCACCTGGAGATCGAATCCATTGCAAAGTCCAGTGTGTTAACCATTGCATTACGACAGCTTCCCTTCGTTTCTCAGTTATAAAAAGGTAACAAAAAACAGTGGTATGCTTAGTGATAAACATTTACGTTCGTGCGGTAACCGGTTTTTTTTTAATGGGGTTTTTCATTCGATTATTGGCAATGCAAAAAAATACCCGATGTTAACAACCTGAACATAGACTGTGTGCCTACACATTATAGGCTACATATACACACACACATAGCAAGTCATTATTTACATACAATACACACGTACGTGTGTCCTACACACGCGCAAGTATACAACAAATACACACGCGTTTACACACATGTCAAATATACAGGTAGACTCATACTAGACCTCTACATTCGGGCTGCACAAGTATACGAATGTGATTGCACACATTTGTAGGCATACACGGATGTGTATGCCCAGTGTATGGGGAACTCACACACACACATACGACATACCTTCACACATTGCCCACAAATTGCACACACGTTGCCCTGTTATACAATTTGCATTTATATGGCCATGCTAATCTATACACTCGTGTCCATTTGTGTACGCCGTGTGTTGATACGTATGCGAGGGTGTGTTTGTGTACAGATGAATACGTGGGTGTATGTGTGTGCGTGCGTACACGCGTGGGCGTGTGTATGCATTGCGTATACAACAGGCTTGTGTACTCCATCCTCTTAATTACATCCTCTTAATGCGTGTATACGCCTGAGGATCTGTTCCAACGTGTGTCTGTGTGTATGTATAAGCTGGTGGGCACATGGATGTACGTGTGCCTATGTGTGGGCATGCGTGTGTAAATACGTGCATGCTACACGTGTACATGTGTACATGGCATGTCGATGTGCGCGCGTGAATGTACACACGCACATGCATGCGCGTGTGGACATGTATGTTACACGTGCACATGAATGACAGGGTGATTGCATTCACACGTATGCAATCGTGTATATGTGCTTGTAAGTCGGTACGTGTGTGTGTATGTGCGTGAGAGTACACACACATACACAAGCCGACATTGTATACCCGTAAACAGATCTACACGTGTGAATATGTCATCGTGTGTTCCTGTCGGTATGTGTGTATACGCACGCATGTACAAGCGTATATTTCTCCGTTTGTGTATGTCCATGCAGGTGTACGGATGTGTGCGTACACGTATGTGATATGCTTCGCTGTATGCGTGCGTGTGCACACTCGTGTACGCGTATCCATCTATGTTGGCTCGTATATGTTGGCACCTTCATGTAGGTATGCAAATATGTATGTGTGCATGCACGCGTGTATACATATGTCAATGTAGACGCGCGCGTGTACACACGTGCGTGTACACACACACGTGTGTACACACACACACGCGTGTACACGTGTGCATTTGGCGGCGTGCACGTGTGCATACGCTCATGTAGGTGTGTGTGTCTTTTGTACAAGCGTGCACACCGTGTGCGTGTCGGCGGGTATGTGCTATGTACGTCCACGTAGGCGCGTACACGTGCGTGTGTACACGCGTGTGTGTGTACACACGTGTGTGTGTGTACACGTGTGTGTGTACACGCGTGCGCAAGCCGCGTGTGTGCTCGGCATCACCGCCACTCACCCGATCGCTCCCGCGAGCTGCATCGTTTCCCCGACATCGCGCTCATCCCACTCTCTCCTTCCCCCCACCACCACCCCCTCTCTCCAAATCCTCCACCCACCCCACTTCCACCCCCGCGGCCTTCCAAAAAATAAATTAATAAGCACACACCAATTATTTAAACCCACACACACACGCGCGCCCAGACTGTCGTGTGCACGCAACAATGTTCTGAGCGTGCACACGGACACGCACGCGCGCGCGCGCGCACAAGGACGCGGGCACGCGCACGGGCACGCGCCTGTAAGCCTGCAACTGCACGGGGGGTTCCTCTACGTTGGAAGGGAGCGAGGAGGTTTTGTACACGAGGGGGATAAGGCGGCAGGATAACGACGACAGTCCCAGCAGTTCCACTCCGACGATGCAGAGGGGGCCCCGGGTGCATGCGTGGTCGGCAGCCACTTGTTCGGTCCCGTCTCTCTTTTATTTCTTTATTTTTGTTGTAAGGGAGGGAAGATTTTTCGGGGGTTGGGTATGGGCATGTTTAATTCATTATTTTCTGGGACGCTCTCTATTTTTTGCTCGCGCGCTCTCTCTCCATTCTCTCCTGCTCTCTCCTCTCTCCATCATCATCATCGCGCGCACCCCCCACCCAACACCCCCCTCTCTCTCCTCTCCGCTCCGTGTGTGATGGTGGCGGTAGTAGCCGATGGTTGTGTTGGTGAGGATGGAGAGCAGGTGCATGTCGCCTCGTCGGCGCATCGCGTGTGCTGTCTTTAACTAATTCTCATTGAGCGCCGTTGCGTTATTAACGGGTACGCGCCTTAAACAACACGGGCACGGGTTGCACACCGACGTGTACACGACATGCACGTATTTTCACACGCGTCGCTTGCGTGTTAAATACCACCGGCGCGCTCGTGTACGCGGCCGGGCATCTCGCATGCATTACCGCAGGCGACGTACCCGCAGGCGCGTGCAACGCGTGCGCCTAGAGATGCGTGCACGTGTTTGTGCTTCCGTCGAACAATACATGACACGGCGACGAACACGCAGAGGCGCGTGCACACGTGTACGCGCAACACGGATACGGGTGTACGCATGTCTCCGTGAAATAAATCGGGCACCGTATACGCATCGTCGTATACACATGTGTGCGCGTGTCTCATCAATATCACAAGACAAAGAACAATACAAATATCACCCGTATAGCCTGAACAGGCTGTTGGGGCAAGTGCTGTTAGCGAGCACCTACGAAGGCCGGCACGGCACACGAGGGGGTTGGTGGCCAGCACCACAGGCATTTCATCACATACACGACGCAAGCACGTATACTCCACCACATGTACTGCACTACGAACCCAGGGAACCCCAGTTCAATTCCCGCTCACGTCCAAACAACAGTGGCAAATATTTGAACCGGTCCAGGGCCTCCCCTAGGTTGACTAAGATTGAAATGAGTACCTGGTGCACTGTGTAATTAATTATCAGCACTGGGGGGACAAAGGCGGCCGGGTGTGATGTTGGCCACCCTCCCCCTCGTGTGCCGTGCCGGCCTTTTTCGGGGCTCGCCAACATCATTTGCCCCAGTGGTGAAGGCGAATTGAGGGGGTATTTGTCTTTGCATGCACGTGTATATTATTCACACGAGCACATACATACACAAGTAGTATACACACACACACATAAATGTGTGCATGTCCAGTCGACAACACGGTACAGATATCCCACCACAACAACCGACATTCGTCACTTAGTGGCGGTGACGTCACCACGGCGCTCGTGCCAGGCTAGGTGCACCTGTACACACGGGCACGTGTACGCGCGTGCGCATGCAGCGCACTATTCCGGCGTGTGAAAACACCGCGTTTACACACGCACACGTAAATGAGTTATCCCCTCGAATGCGTGGTGGGATTTTTTGCCTCCGGCCACTCCAGAAATGTCCCCAGAAGTGCTGTTAGCGACCGCCTATTAAGGGCGGCACGGGTTCACAAGGCCGTGGTGTTTGCGAGTGCCACGCCGGGCAGCCAGGTACGGATTTAAGGCTGAGTCGACGTAGCAAAATCCAGGATTAGTTCAGACACAACAACCTCCATTCGCCACTAAGTGGCGGTGATGTCACCACGGCGCTCGTGCCAGGCTAAGTGCACTTAGCCTGGCACGAGCGCCGTGAAGTGTCGAACGCCCGCTGACAGGAGGTCACCGGACTGACTGAGATGACTGGCCGATGCACCACCTGCGCCCCCTATTGTGCCAACTTGCTGTGTTTATCTGCCCGGCGCTCCGCTCGTTGTTGTGAGCGTAGCTCCTCCGCCCTCCGTTGTTGCTGGAGGGCGACTGCCTCCAACTGCCCAGTAGCAGCGTCTTTCACGAGCCTCCTCCACAGAGGCCGATCTTGACACCGCTGGTACCAGTCATCGGCAAGTCCACTCAGCTCCAGATCCTATTTTAACACATCACTCCATCTGGTCCCTAGCCTGTGCCGTGCCCGTTTAGCCCCCTCTATCCGGTCGAACAAAAGCTGTTTAGGCATTCGGTGGCTGGGCATGCGGGTAACAAGACCAAACCAACACAGCCTTCCCTGCCGGAGGAGCTCACCGATGGGACTATGTCCAGATCTTTCAAGGATGTGTGATCTCCTCACACAATCCAGACTGGTTAAACCCAGGATAGATCATAGGCAGGCCAGCCTAAATGATTCTAACCGGAAAAAGATGTTCCATTAGGGGGATCTACGTTTCACAAGCATATAGAAGGGATGGCATGACCGTGGCCGAGAAGACCCGAAGCTTCGTTTGGAACGACAGACCGAGTAGCTTACACACAGCGTTACACAGACGATGAAAAGATAATTCCGCTCTACTGATTTGGAGTGAGACCTCTGCTGTCAAACCGGAGCTGGTCAACAGCACACTTCCCAGGTATGGGAAACTCTTCACTCTCTCCACAACTGCCCATCGCAAATGGGGAGTTGAGGGGGTGGAGTATTTCATGGCACAAAATACCCAGCCATAGCAGGCTTCACGAACTACGTGGTCGAAAATGATGAAAAATAATGTGGAAGCCAGAGGACATCCCTGTCGTACCCCAAGGTGAACAGGAAATGGCTCCGACTCCCGACCACGAAGTTTTACCCGGGCCTATCCACCATTATGAAGGTTCTTTATTATTGTGAGCAGAGAGTCAGGGACTCCGAAAGCACGAAGAACAACCCAGAGCCCTGGCCTATTGATGGTATCATAGGCCTTGACCAGGTCAAAAAAGCAGAGATGTAGGTCCTGTTGGAATTCCCTACACCTCTGCTGTAGCAGACGGACAGAAAGTATGGCATCTGTGCAGGACCTCCCAGGCCTGAAACCACAATGGGGCTCCGCAAGCCTCTCCTCAGCATGCCTCGCAAGGCGATGTTGAATAATCCTCGCCAGGACATTTCCCGGTACACTTGTAATAAAAGACTCGACCACGATGTCTGGCTTGGTGTCCTTTATTTGGTTCGTGCTGTCTCCCACACGGCTGTCCTCCTTTGAGACTTTCCACACGGTGCCGACGCTGTTGTTACACCCGTCACCGCTAACAGCTCCGCTGTTGGTCTCCGTCGTTCCCGTAGCCTCTTAGCAGCCTCGCTGCTGTTACCCTCACGCAGCCCCCCTGGCTGTCCTCGCTGCAGCTCCTCCTCGTGTCGCTCCCGTAGCCTCGGACAGCCTCGCGGCTGTTTCCCTGTCGCTCCCGTAGCTCCTAGCAGCCTTGCTGCTGTCTCCCATACACAGCCTCCCCGGCTGTACTCGCTGCAGCTCCTCAACCGCTCTCTCTCTCCAGCAGCCCCACTGCTGTCTCCTCCCGCAGCTCCGCTGGCTGCTCCCTTAGTTGGTCACCGCTGGCCGACGGCGCCACTCTTCCCTGGCTTCGCCCTGCGTGGCCTTACCCTTGCTCAGTCTCCCACTCTCTCCCGTCTCCTTCCGGTTTCATCCCTTAAGGACCCGAACCTTGCTCCCACGTCACATAACTCCACCTCTCCGTGACGTCACATCCGGGAGGTCGCTCGCGTCCCGCATTACACCACCCTCCCCCGTAGAGAAAAACTCAGCCGACCTCGGCTGAACAATACCAACAGTAATGTGGGCGAAACCGACCTCGACACACCAAAGGACACCAAGCATGCAATATAACAGTAAGAACAATCAACACAACATAACAAGCAACGGACGTACAAGAAGCAGGCAATAAATATAACAGTAAGAACAACAATGCAACATAACAATCAACGAAACACAAGGGATTTAGAACGTGTGCGGGTCGCCGGCCCGTCCCGGACGGTCGGCGGCCCACCCGCAGAGCGGGAACGTGACGGAGTTTGAGGAGTAACAGGGCGTAATTCTCCTGTCGATGTTGGAGGTCCACCAACGTCCCGTGTCCCTGAAGAATTAGCCCCGGACGTGTCCCGCGACTGTGCCTGCAACGGGGTCGGAAGGGCTGCAGGGCCCGGAGTTCCCGCAGTCCTGGCAGGCACCCTCCAAGCAGGGCTCGTCGTCACCTGCGGCGTCACGGCCGGTCTGTCTGGAACAGGCACGACAGGCGCTCTCGCAAGATCAATGGACGCAGGCAGGGGAGGGTCGGCAGCAACAGACCCCGGCAAGGCAACATTAGGAGATGACGTATCATGTAGGGGAGCAACATATGGTTTCAAGCGCGACGTGTGAACAAACCAGCGGCGAGATCCAATCTGAACACGCGCCGACTGAGGGTTGGGAACCTCAATGAGGCGGACGGGCCCTTGCCAAGGTTTGTGAAATTTAGGAGAGGTACCCGGCCGCACCTGCGGGCAATGGAGCCAGGCCAGGTCCCCAACCTTCCAGGGGCACTCCCCCTTGGAACGTCGAGCATACCTCTCGTTCCGGGCCTGGGCTTTGGCCGTAGCCGCGCGGGCACTCTCCCGCGCCTCCGAGACCCGGCGAACAGTGTCCCAAATGTAATCAGGGAGTGGTTTACGAGGTCCCCTCACACCGGTTCCCAACTGCACATCCATCGGCGGCACGTTTTCCCGACCATACATAAGGTAGAACGGCGAATAA